CGGTGGAGGTGAGGGTGAGGCGTGCTTGCTGATACCTTTCATGATGGTGACGGCCGCCAGCCGGCGAAAACATCATTGCCATCCTCAATGCAACACGCAGCATTGTGTGCGTTGCCATCGCAAGAAGCGGGAGGGAAGGTGAGGGTGAGGGGAAGGCGGAGAAGATGAGGGGAAGAGGGAGAGAAATTCCGGCGGTCGATCAACAGATAAACCATCACCCCACTTCCATTATCAGGCCGGCCAGCAAATAATCCAAATGATAACGCTCACATGTGTGGCACGAAGCAACATGGCCCAAACGCCTCCATTACCATTCATTTTACCACATCAAAACAGATGACATCAACGGGAATCTTTTTGATTTTCAGCTATAAAATGGTTTATCTTCTAATTAAAAAATCAATTAAAAATTCATTTTCATCATTAAATCCGTCCCAACGAGATCTCAAAACTAGATCCCATGTTGATATATTTCGATGAGAAAAAAAATTGGCCAAAAATTGCCATGATATTTATATTGTAGTTGTCATAGTGTTTACACTAAAGTTGCCATATGATAATTTTAGTTTATTGATCATGGCAATTATAATATTTTGGCCATGGCAATTCCAGTACTTTGATCATGGGAATTACATGTATCATGGCAATTTTAGTTTATGGTTCATGGCAAGTCTAGTTTCTTAATTTCTCGTTTTATAATATATCAAAATTTACTTTTAAAGTTAGAAGACAAAATAGCTGAAACATATCATGGCAACTTGTCGCTGCCATGGCCACCACCACCTACTCCTCATGGAAGAAAATTTGGATTATATACCTCCAAAATAATTTTTTATCGAGAAAATTAATGTGCCAACATCACTAGCTATGGATATGCATATGCATGATGGATTCAGTGACCATTGTGATATCTCAGTATCTGGACACAACCGACTAGACGCTACATAGCTGCTGCTCAACATCCAGTGCACATATCAATCTCACCTGACGAGCTATCACAATTGCACAGCAAAAAAACATTACTACTTGTTTAATGATGATGAAGCGAGTCAATGGCATCTCGGAAGCACTCTTGGAACCTCTGCATGCCAGCCGCCGGCAGAGAGATGCCCACCTCGATGCCGCCGGTGCTGCTCCGCCCTTCAGCCACCGCCATGGCACCGGTTCTCGCCACGGACACGATCTCCACCTTGACCGGCCGCCCGAACCCAAAGTCCACCTCGTACACGCGGAACCTGGGCGACCCGGCCACCGTCCACATCCCGGCCATGGCAGCCTCCCTAAACTTGTCCAACCACAACGCGATCGTCTCGGGTGACCTGATGTCGCGCACCGCTTCCTCGATCGCAGCAGCTAGCGCCGTGCACGCGACGAAGATGCCGCCGGCACCGGCTTCGGCGAGCTGGTCCATGGGCGCGGCGTGCATGGCGCCGCCGACGCAGTTGCCGAGGTACTCGTCCGGGACTGGAGGCTGCATCCGCGTGCGATGGTCGACGGGGAAAACCAAATACGTCTGGTCGCCGCTTTTGCTTCCTTCATCTCTGGCTCGCTGGTAGCATGACCACATGAAGCCGAAGGTGGCTACCAGCGATGAGCATCGCGGCGGCGGCACGCCTGCTACGACGTCCTTGACACGCTGTATGTCTTCTTTGGTCAGCGTGAACGTCGCGAGGAGTTTGTCCTCCAACACCTTGACGTGCTCCATCTCGTCGGCCGATGGCATGGCTTTGACGAAGACGTCGTAGAGGCCCGTTGCGTCCTTCACTAGAGTTCTATCGATGACAGGAGGTGAGGGCACGACGGCGCCCGTGCCAGCCGCCGCCCAGGTGTGCAGGAAGCGCGTGGAGATGGCGCCGTCGCAGGCAGCATGGTGCACGGCCACGCCAATGGCGAGGCCGCGGTGCAGCACGGTGGCCTGCAGCGCGAGCACCGCGCCGCCCTTGGGAAGAGGCGGTGCGAGCGGCGCGATCTTGCTGACCTCCCTCGGCTTGTCAACCACGAGCTCGTCGAAGTCAATGTCGTCGCGGTACTTGGCGACGGTGAAGGTGACGCCGTCGCCCGGCTGGTAGTAGATCTCGTAGCGGTCAGCCGTCCCAGGCGTGAGGCGGAGGCGGCCAGCGAGCGGGTGGTAGGTGCTGAGAGCTTTGGCCAGTGAGGTCTTGAGGTTGGAGAGGATTTCGGGGACGTCGGCGTCAGCGGCGAGGCGGTAGAAGAAAACACGCTCGACGGGCGGGGACGTGAGCCAGAGGACGTCGAAGAAGGTGAGCGGGAGGGAGGACTCCGGCGGGGCGGCGCCAGCGCTGGGCGAGGGCGCTACGAGAGTGGTCTCGAGGACGCTGAGAATCGGGGGTGGCGAGACTTGCACCGGAACTTGCACTTGCTGCGCTGGCGCCATTGCTGCTACTGTATTTGGTGGGAGTATGCACTTAGACTTGGTGATGAAGCAGAGGCAGAGCG